TTCCCAATTTGAGCATCACCTCCAGTCAAGAGTGTTTCACCCGGTATGTTCAAGATAACAGTATGAATAGTCCGCGTGATAGAAACATGTGCTACAAGCGAAAGTCGTTATACTTGTGTTCTTGGGAAAGGCACCTGTACTCAAATCGCAGCGCAGTAGTGGCATGAACTCAAAAGTATTTAACCGGGTTCAGGATGAACGTTAATGTAGATCAAGTTAAACGACATCAAGCTTGTTGCCTTTTGACTTTTCATTTGTTAAAAAGATTGTGTACGCTTTTTTCTACCCTAAAAATAGATTGCTTACAAATGACATGATGATTTGTAATTAAAATTAGTAATTATAAATTACTAATCACAATTACTAATCAGAAAAACAAGTTTTTTCTGGAAAAAACCGGTAAAAACAAGAAGCTGACTAATTATTTGTCAACCTAATCACCAAGATTTATTTGTTTGTTTACATTTATTCTTATTGGCCCATGCCTGTTTGTAAATATGTATAAATACAACCAGTCTCCCAAGGTTTGTTTGGGTATCGGATCTGACGAGTTTTTTAATAAAAACAAAAGGCCTAATCCTTTTCTCCTTTACCATACACAAACCCATACTGGCTATAAAAATACTTCTAAGAAAAATTTATTTTTTTCACTTTTATTTTTACAAACAAAAAGAACTCACATTTACTGATAAAACTTTTTCGCTACTTTCTTTTTAACCTTAACCGGATTTACTTAGCCATGTGGGTTTTATTGACTGTTCTGCTATAGGAGAGGAAGATCTACTTTGCCATGCAGATTTTGTTAATGGTGATAATGGCATGGGCATGGACTATCTGTTTTTGCTTTGCAAATAAACAGGTGAAAAAATAATGTTCATCATTTCATTTACACTTTTATTCACCAAGTTTTTGGGAATTAAACCAAAATGACTTCTTAATTCTTGAAGTGTAGCTAAATGATTGTTAACGAAATGCGTATCGAGATTGTTCAACACTACACTAAGATCTATAAGAATAATTAGACATATAAATGGTTAAGGAATTATCAATAAAGAAATACAAAAAAAATTGCTTACTTGGTAAAGTATTTTTACCTGAAGATAAGGAATACATTATTGGTTGAATTTGCAGTAAATAGAATGGATAAAATGGTGATTGAACCATTGAAATTACTGGTGATTGCACAGAGAGCTGTTGGACAAAAACAAATGGCTGCTGAACAGAATGTTAACTGGGGGACTGCTGAATGGAAGGTTAAATGTAAGGCTGCTGAATGAAAGGTTAAATGTAAGGCTGCTGAATGGAATATTGAATATAAGACTGCTGAACGGAGGATTGACTGGAAGGCTATTGAACAAAATATTGAATGGAAGGTTGGCCAGATGGCTATTAAATGGATGGTTGACCAGATGGCTGTTAAATGGATGGTTGACCAGATGGCTATTGAATGGATGGTTAACGAAATGGCTATTGAATGGATAGTTGACCAGTTGGTTATTAAACCAAATGGCTGTTAAACAGATAGTTAACCGGATGGCTATTGAACAGATAGTTGACCGGATAGCTGTTGAATGGATAGTTGACCGGATGGCTATTGAACAAATAGTTAACCAGATGGCTGTTAAATGGATGGTTGATCGGATAGCTGTTGAACAGCAGGTTGGTTGGATGGTGGCTTTTTAGAGGATTGTTGACCAGATTGTTGAGAGAATCGTTGAGCGAAAGATCACAGAGATGATTTTCTTTTTGAATTCATTTTTGAAAAATTTTTGAAAAAAACTATCTGCTTTTATATTTAATTTTTGTATGGTTGTGACTTCATAATAAATAAATGGTCACTACATTGTCACTATTTTTTTACCACTTGATTAATGAATTGTCACTATTTTGTAATGATTCTATTATAATTTAATTAAAATTATCTCAAAATTGTATTGCCACGATGACATTTTATTAATAATTATAGTAACGACATTGTCACTATTTTGCAACTAAAAGTTGTCGCAATATAGTCACGATTTGTTCACTATTTTTTTAAAAAGAATTGATGACAATGTTATCATTGAAACAATGATTTAATTGCTACTAAATGGCTGAGATTTGGTTGCAACATAGTAAAAACCATTAAATCGTGATTGAATCTTTATGATTCAGTCACAAAACCGTAACAATTACATGATCAAGTTGTCAGAATTTGATAGGTTTCAGTAAAGTAGACTCTGTTTCTATTGTCAATAACTTTAATAGTTTTGAATAGAGTATCTGGTTCCAATTCTAACTTATGCATCAGTTTGTTTATAATGATACTGACAGCAGCTCCTGAATATATAATGGCAATTACTGAATTTTCTTTGATTCTGACATAGAATTTAGCTGATGAAGTTTTTCTAAAGTCATTTTCTGATTGAAGATAATTAGTTTTAACTGTTTTCTTTGGTCTTTTAAGAATATTAACAATATTTTTTTATTGGTTAGGGTATTGGAGCATTTGTTCCACAGTAGCACTGGATGGTAACTTGGGAATGTCTTCAAAAATATTATATGGTATAAGCTGATTAACCACAGACAATTGAAATTTCTTTTTTGGCTTCTTTGTTTTTGATGAGGTAGGTTATATTGAAGGAGATTAATAATAAATAAATCAATCTTCTACTTCTATCAATTGAGTAGTATTTTTTTTTGATCACAGGTTAAATTCTTTGACTAATTCTGATTGTTTAACTTTTTTTTTTCTATTCCTTTTGATTGATAGTATAGGATTGGGATCTAATTTTCTGTTTCACATATACAAGTTCTTCTTCTTTACTAGATACTTCATTAGAGGTATTTTTAATTATAAAATAATTTATGTATTTGTCTTTTTTGACATATTGATTTTGTTGTTAATATTATTGAGAAGATATAGGTCTTTCAAATAAGCAATTATAGGCAATATGTTCTATTTGGCTACACTTAAAGCAAGTTCTTGTATCTCTTTATAGTATATAGGCTAGTGGCAACTTGGAAGTATCAGGCTTATAGTAAAATTTGTTCTTTCTTTCAACTCTGGCAAAAATATTTTCAATTTGGATTTCAAGTTTTAAAAGTATCTTTTCGAACTTCTGGATAAGATCATCTATGAAATCTTGAAAAGCTTCTTTGTTTTTAAATCCAAAAGTCTTTTCTGTTTTGACTCTGATAGGTTGTTTGTAATTAATAAGATCTTGACCATTTTCATATTGTTAAACTAAGTAGTTTTTTCCCCTTTGTAGTTTTACAAATATTCTCTACAGGTTTTAAGAGTTTTTCTACTGATTATTATAGATATTTACATGTAAACATGCACACGTACTCCATTTTTACTTTTTTAAAATTTTTTTAGATCTAGTTAGAGCCAATGAGATATAACTAGTCTCTGGCTGACTATGTTTGAATAGTCTTCTAAGTTTCTGTTCATTGAATAGTAGACAGGGACTTAGAGGCATACATCCTGGCAAGTTAGTTCTTCACCTATACTATTAGGATTTCAACATTAATAATATAGAAGACATTGTTAGCCTGGTAAAAGTCATATGGTATAGTCACATACCCTGGAAATTTAGGATAGCATTAGTAATTAGCATAGGAAATGTAGTTATAGAGGCTTATGTAACTTACCCATAGTTTATTTTAGTCCTGATAGTTTAGCCCCATCAATTTATGCATCAATAGTATAGCTGTGAGATAAGTAATTAATAAGCGGGTGAGTAAATAAATAGCAGCAGTGTAGAAAAAAGAAAGACACACACACGAACCCACAAAAAGTAAATTAAATAAAAGAGATTAAAAGAGAAACAATAGTTACTTTGAGTTGCCATAAAGAGAAAATAATAATTAACAACTTGTCTTTTTGAGTACGCACCATTTTAGGAAGGATAACCGCCACTAGAAGGACATAGCCCGGGGTATCAAGAAGGAAACGAGTATTGGGAAAGAAAAGAAGAGAAGTTAATTAGTACTGCCCAGCTAAATCAATTATACACGTCTCAACTTACCTTTAGTAACGCGAACTTTGGACCGGTGAAGCAACTGACTCGCCGTTTTCTGGCCCAACAATTTGGTGGTGACTGTGAGATTAGACGTCTCGTTATCTCCATAAAAGTGTGCTCGCGCCAACCCATAACATTCATTAAAAAGTTTATCCCCTAGAAAACTGAAAACCCTAATTAATCCATTATCCTTAAAATTAAACAAACACATTGTTCGCCAAAAACGAATCTTACCTTCTTTGGAAAATCTGTAACTCGTACAAGATCTGCCTTGATTATTAATTAACAGAAAAAATGTTGGAAATCGTAAAATATGTGGATGAGGAAACTCTTTGTATCCCTCTACGTCGAAATGGGTAGAAAGAATCAAGAAATACTATCACTATTCTGCGAGGAATAAGGACGAGAAGAATCAGAAAAAAAGAAAATCGTTATGTTAGGCCATCTAAATTTAAAGGCAAACTAGAAGAAGAGTCACGAATATGGGTAGAACATTACAACCAAGCTGCTGACTGCAATAACTGGACGGATGATGAGAAGTTGGACCAAGTAGCTAGTTATTTGAAAGAAATTGCATTGAAATGGTATGACGAACATAAGTATCATTTCATCTATTGGGATGATGAGTATGATCATGAGGAGAGCTTTGTGCCGGCATTCATCCACCACTTTGAGATGATCGAACAATAGCACCAATGGCAGACGAAGTTGGAGAACATAGAGCAAGAAAAGGGTAAAAAGATGCTTGAGTACGTTCAACGATTTCAGAAGCTACTCAAGAAGATCTATCCTAGGGGAGACTACCATAAGAAAACGTTTGAACGGGGAATCGTGCACAAATTATGAGAAGACTTGTGATCCATACCTGCCATTAGAAATGCAACTGACCCGAGGAAAGAACTCAAAGCAACAATCAGAGCTAAAGCTAATACTGAAAAAGAAGCAAAGAATAAAAAAGAGTTAGAAGACTGCGTTCAAAAGTTGAAATACTGGATGCAAGAACTAACAGAAAGAAAGGTACCCCGACCCACCACGACACGATTCAGCAATGCTGAAAGTGATGGCAAAAGTGAAGAAGAAAGCCGTCAATCTAGGCGCCACTGGTTATTCGGAAAGAGTGAGAACAGAAGAGGGAAGGTCGTACCGGAGTCCACAATGATGAAGAAGAGCCATCTGAGAACCAAGACGAATTCTCAAGCCCAAGAATCTGAGTGCGACGATGATGATATACCTTTGCCTAAAGAAATAAATATTTGTATTAGTAGGCAGAAAATCAGCATGAAAAATCAGGTAAAGAATCTAGATTTGGATAATGATGAGGCCGTGAGTGACAGCGAAAGTGTAGAAGGTTGTCATGCTAAATGCTTTGGCTTGTTTAGAAGAGATAAGGGTATAGAAGGAAAGATTGTGCCAAAGTCGGAAAATTATCCGAAAACTATCGCGAAGCCTGAGCCCTGAAAGTTGAGTCATGGTAATCATGACACGTCCCAACCAAGAGGAACTACAATGTAGTCACTGTTAAAGAGCAGATAATTGTCACAGGTCTGACCAAGAATTCGATCCTGAATGATGAAACCAATATGGTACATGCTGACAAGATCGACCACGGAAAATGCTGTAATGCGACCGATAAAAGCACTTCGCAGAATGAATGCCCTATTAAGGAAAATAAAAAGTCGGGAGAATGGTTTAAACAAGAAGAGGGAACGGTAAAAGTACTCAATGCAGTGCAAAGGAAGGAATCGTTGACATTACGTGATGAGAATCAGGAAGGGAAGAGAAACGAAACAATACTAGCAATCACTTGGAAAATACATGCGCCTGGAAATGAGACCTACAGATCGTGTAATATCCCTGCAGTATGGCAACGATGGATGGAGGTGTTTCTTCGTGAATTTAAGATAAAGTTCACAAAAACGTACTCCGACACCTTCATAAGATTAGCGCTTCGCACAATGATGATAATCAAGAACAAAACGGTTCCGTTAAGCTGTTCCGTGAGAAAACTGCTAACTGTCAATATTGTCGAATGGACCATGTTAACCCTGAGTGCGATATAGTGATGCGAAATCATGATGATGTCCCGATTGTTCGTGATGTACAACAAATCAGGCAAAGCAAACAAGGAATTATCAGTGGAAGAACAGCACCAAAAACGATGTAAGAGACACACGTGTATGGAGACATGGCTAAGCTTTGCAGCATCTTCACGAATTGACAACATGTAGTAAATGCAACGAATGCGAGAAAAATGGCAATAGTTTATTTTAATGTGGTTACAATGAAGGAGTTTTATATGACGCAGGAGTTCAAAACACAACTGATCCAACTTGTACCAAATGACATAGTGACTTCTATATGTGGCATACATCTCAAAAACCAGGATAATGTGGACGATACAGCTAAGAAAAAACAAATAGTTTGGGAGCCTAATACGCAAACAGCTCAACCACATTGGATGCCATCAGAAAATCTGCGGCACATGACCATGAGAGATCAAGATCTGTCAATGCTTTGTTGAATACACCACAAGTCAAGGAGTTGATGACATCCACGGCTAATGAATATTACCCTAGAGCTAGAAGAAGGCACTGAGATGATAAACGAGGGGTTAGGAAAATAATCATCAATGTGTCACGAAAATAGAAAAGGGATAGGACTTACCATCGTCGCGCTATAACATCTATCAGAGCAAAGTTAAAGACAACCCAGCGTAATTCTATTTGCCAGCCATACCTACCATGGAACTCTGATACAGCTAAAAGGAAATGGAAGGACCATACACTTCACCAGGAAATCAGATTGGGAAGCCAGCCAGAGCAATCTCATAGAATTATCCGAGTTCATGATATCACTGAAAAAAGGCCTAATTTCGAGTTTATATGCACAAGTAGGAATGATGTAAAAGAAGGTTACAAAAGGATAAAGGCTAGTAATCCGGTTGTAACGAAAGAAATCGAAAATAAACTGGGAATTACAATCAATGACGGAGATGGCAACTCGAATGTCTGCATTATCACTTCACCATGTGATATCCAACCATCCGATATGTCACCACCATGGATAACCTGTCAAGTTCTAGCAGTAGTGGGAATCTTTGTCAAGGACGCCAAAGATAAGTGGGGGAGAATGTTAGCCTGGTAAAAGTCACATGGTATAGTTACGTACCGTGACTATCACGTCGCGTACCTTGGAAATTTAGGATAGCATTAGTAATTAGCATAGGAAATGTAGTTATAGAGGCTTATGTAACTTACCCATAGTTTAT